CCAAGTAAGAAGCAGCGTAGAGAGCATTATCGTACTCCCCGCCCTGCGCGTTGACGTCGGCATCCTTCTCGAGTAGCATCTGAACGATCTTCTCGTGGCCCCCGAAAGAAGCGGCCTGGAGAGTATTACCGTACCTACCGCCCTGCGCGTTAACGTCGGCACCCTTGTCGAGTAGCATCTGAACGATCTTCTCGTGGCCTAAAGAAGAAGCAGCCTGGAGAGCATTACCGTACGTACCGCCCTGCGCGTTGACGTCGGCACCCTTGTCGAGCAGCATCTTGACTGAATCGACTAGACCTTCAAGCGATGCGTAGTATAAGGCAGGTAGTAGCTCTTGATCTTTTTCATTGTTATTATCCCACGGTCGGTCAGGATTGTATAATCGATAGCCAGCTTTATAGAAGTTCTCAGAAAAGAACTCCTTTTCAAGTATATGGATTGCTTCGCTGCAGGTCTCGGCTGCAAGGGCATGGCCAGTCCAGTATCGAGCAGAATACTGTGCTAGGTGGTATTGCCGTCTAACCTCCTTCGCTAGAAGATCCTGCTTCAACTCTAATAAGTATGCAAGGCAGACTTCTGCAATAGAGGCCCTCGCAGCGGTCTCTTGTAGTTCCTCAGCGATATGTTTCTCTAGACGGCTTGAAGTTAGATATTCCTTGACAGAGAAGTGGGCAAGCTGTATTTGCGTTCCTGTCATTTTCTTATCATCGTTGTTGTTGTAGAAGTTGTCATCATTATGAGCACCATCTTTTTTGCTCACAACAGCCACTAAGCTGGAACAGTACCTTGAAATCTCTTTTGGGACTGGCATCCTGTTTTCCGGATCGAACCGAGGCTTGCTTCTGGTTTGTACCGCAATTGCATCAATAGCTTCGTTAATCTGTAGCGGTCGCTCGGAGAAGGCCAGAAATTGCAGGATTCGGATTGTATGGTGCTTATGCTCCTCTGGTATGCTCTTCAGGATCCGAGCGTATGTCTCGTCTAATGTCTTCGGTAGGGATCCAAGTGCTGTTTTCAAAGTTGGATAATCGAGGCAGTTTTCGAGGGCATCGAGTTGACACGAAACCCAGCGGAACCTATATAGTTTTAGTAGGCTTGTAATAGAAATGATACTAAAACCTTACATTCCATTAGCCTTCTCAATTAGAGCGGCTTCAATCTCAGCTTGAACCTTTGGCCGCTGCTGCCACCTGCTTAGGCCCTCGTGATGCCTTACCCTTTTTTGGACATATCCACGGATATCCTCCGCGACCAAGTCTCCCTGGATAGGGACTATGTCCTGAATATGGGCCCATTTCTCAATAACCGACTGAATGTCTTGCTCTGGACGGCTTGTCACAAGAAGGTGAACATTCATCTGCTGGGAGTTTAGAAGGCACTCTAACCACGGCAGTAGCCCTGTATTCGAATATTCTCTCCGTGTCCGACATTCGTCAAGCGCATCAAGGACAATCCAGACTTCGCCAACTTGCTGGATCATTTCCTGGAACACCTTGCATAGCGATTCGAGGGTTGGCCGCCGCTTTCCACTTTCGCAGGAGGAGTAGAGAGAGTCCAGGTGCCTTTGAGTGTCGGCGTTTTTGCCGTATAGCTGGATTATAAGCGAGTGAACTGCATTCTCGAGAGACTGCTTCTGGTTATCGCTGAAATCGAAGTAAAAGTAGAGGAGCTTGTGAGAGACGCCTCCTGTTTCCAAGTTTTCAACAATGGTAGAGCTTAGAATTGTCTTGCCGCATCCAGGAATTCCGTAGAGCCATAAGAAGGAGTTTCGCTCCGTTTTCCATGCCGAATATCTTGGACTTTGGAGGAACCACTGGCCTGAGCCCTGGTGGCGTTGCTGTAGAGCTTTGTTGTAATTTGTTGACGGGTCTGAGGGGGACAGCCATGCATGCACCTTCTGCTGATGGCCATCTCGGGATAGCAAATCTACACCAGACTTGGTCTCGTGCGCTATATCTCGGATGTCCGTCACATTTTTCGCAACTGTTGAAGTGGTTACTAATTATGTTTAGAGCATAGAGTAGGCAAACTAACTATCTTTTAGGGCGTCGGTAGCCCTCTGCGTTCTTTCGACATCTTCTCCTTGAATAACACCGAGAAACTCTTTCGCGTACGCCGCAGCCGTTGCAGCAGCATACCTTTGCCAGCGATCGTTCTTGTGAGAATCGGCGTAGTCACAAATTCCTCTAATGACAAGACAAGGGAAGTTGTTCATGAGGCCGGCTGCTTCCATCTCGAAACAAATACAGTCGTCGCCGAGTTCCTTTACGATTAGATCCCTGGTGCTAGCATCCTTAACTAAAGTGTTTCCGGAGACGATCAGGCCGTAGTGGATCTCTGGACTGTAGACCTCGCGCTCATCGCGTTTGACCTCCTGCTCTGGGTCGCAGTTGTCACAATTTTTGCCCTGAGTGTGGATGTACGTTGATTTGAATAGCTTGTCGTGCTCTTGCCCCTGGTACGTGTAGCTAGGTTTTCTTAGCTTGGCTTTTGCTAGTTCGGGGTGCTTTTTGAGCATTTCTTCCAGGATCTTTGGAACCCTAGAGCCATCGATCTCAGCCTGGGCCTGAAGACTGGCTAGTGCATTGAGAAGAGCCTGTGGAGGTGAATTTAAGAAACCAATGCGCTCGAACTGATCGCCCGTCTTGGCCTTTCCAAAGTCGTATTGGACGACGCCACCGCTCGCCCCCGATGGCTGACTGACGGCAATGTCGCCAAGGCGGATATCGAGGTCTTCGTCTGGTCGTGAAATTCCCGCTCCGATGCCCACCATAAGGCCGATACGAATCTGGGGAAACGAGGAGAGCATGCTCATCGCAGTTGCCGCAGCAGAAGTTGTTCCATAGACTCCTGCAGGCAGCGATGCGATGACGACATTATGCTCTGCAATTCGTCCCCAGGTGTATGAGTTTTTGTCGTTTGATGGCTGGGTGAAGTTGAGAGGCTTCTTGTGTAGCTCATCGAGCATGGCGGTCGCAGCTGCTCGTTCTATTGGTAAAGCGGCAATCCAGCCAACTGTGTATTGGTCTAGATTATCGAGAGACTTGAAGGTAGCCATTCTAACAGAAAGAGCTGGATACGCGTTGTTGTTATTGTTGTTGTTGTTGTTGTTGTTGTTGTTGTGGTTGTTGTTATCGCGAGAATTGCTTGCCTGGCAGACTTTGTTCCTTTCCTAAAACCCTGCCGTGACAATCGCCAGGCGATGATTATTTTTAGATAGCAACCGCGGAGACACGTGTACATCTGCAGGCGCTAGGCAGCAACGTAGCTCGTGAATCGCCTTTGCTGAGCTGCAGCTTAAGTCCTAGCGGGAGAGGATACACAGTCTCGCTTAGCCGCAGAAGTAAGCTTACACTGCCACACTGCGAAGCGAATCAGCCAAATTTTTGTGGAGAAGATAGGGGCTAGCGGGTAAGAATACCGGATATGTCAATGGGCTACGTTCTCGGTAGGGGCTGGAGTGCAGTAGCATCCTTGTAACGGCGTGTCGGTAATCGCAGCGCCAGCCAGCCATTCGAAGCGCTTAAGCCGGCTATACAAATTCACCAAGGCGGCAAATTTTGTATATATAGAGCGCCGTATTTCTCGAAAAGCTTAACACCGTACGACTAGGGCTCTACTATAGAAGTTAAGAGTGACTTTGCAACAGGATAACACTGGTGGGGCCACGTATGGGTCACTCAAAACAAAGATGACTGCAGGATAAAAAGTAGGTTAGGGATACTCCACCACGACCCCGGCGCGCAGCGCTAAGACGTACGGGAGCCGGTAGATCCGAAGCCAAGCCTCGCTTGCTCTATCTACATAGCGTCTGCAGAGGCAGCGTCAGCTATCAGTGTATTCATCGGTAGATCTATTTTCTAAGAGGGCGGGGCCCTGATTCGTATCGAAGTCGCTAATTTCAGGCTCTGCCTTTAGCTTAGGCTGGGGATCTTCTCGTCGCTTCCGCTAGTGCTAGTCTTTCGCCTCTAGCCTCTTGCGCTCCTGTCACCGCACAACTTCTGCGTGGTCGTACCTCTCGGCCGCGCATGCTACTTGGCCGCCATATCCTCTCCAAAAAGCCACTTTTATACTCTATCCTGCCGAACATTACTTCTCTTCCGCATCGATGCCCTCTCCCGACTACACAAAATCCTTTATGTCAGCCAGGACCACTCTAATAATGTACTTGTTGGACTGTCAGGCCATGTTTCTTCATGCATTACTCTCTATATTTATGTTGCTTTTTCGTTGTTTCAACACCCTGTCATCACCCTGCTACTTTCTACAAGCGAGCACCTGACTGCTCCACTCCTTCGTATATATAAAACTCGCTGCTAGAAACTCTTGAAGAAGCAAGCGGCGTACACTCTTTTCTCGCGCCCTTCAACACACTGCTATTGGATGCTGTAGCAATGCTCCGTATGATGTGTCTCGCGCTGATTCTTTTGATTACAACTGCAAATACGTGATGTATTGAGAGAGGGCCTACTAGCGCTTATGGCCTAATGCAGGATGCCTCTTACGGTACCAGTGCGAACGGAACCCAATTAGATTTCTAGCGAATACGAAGCGGACACATGGCTACGTTAGCAAGCATTAACTAGCCTGCCATGATAAAAACCTCGTTGCTGATAGCCTGGTGGCCTGTTGCAAGCATACTCTATCAACGCTTCTTTCCCCTCTCTCTGTCTTTGGAAGCGCCCTGCGAAAACAAACACCGTGCAAGCGACGTGTTTGAATAAGGGTATGTGTCAGCCAGGATCACTCCGATAACTCTCGTTTTTTCAGCCTTATTACAGTCAGTTGTTACACTACAGCCTTACCCCTTACACCACACGTTTATCCACTGCAAGGGAATAAGGATCTTAAAGAGAAAACGTGTTCTTTTAGATAGCAGCATATATACCTCCATGGGTAGTAGTAATTTAGGAGGACAAGCGGCGTCCAATTCCTCGCGCCCAGCTTTACACAATCTTTATTGTTTGAATTCAGTAGCGAAAGGTGTTTTCAGTTGGTTTAATTCCAAAGCGGATTTTGTGAGAGACTTGGTTTTAAACGGTAGGGGTGAGTTGGCCGAAGATGTAGTATTCTACGAGAAAAGAAGGGGGTTTAAGAACCCGGACTTGTGTTTTCGCCATAGTGTTAGCCCTAGATGTGTTGTTCTAGGCTGGGAGGTCTGCCTGAAGCGGAGATCGAATGGGGTCTGTGCGGTCTTGGCAGGGAAAACCGAAAATTTTTCCCACTGTTTGAGCCAGTAGTCGGTTTTTACCCTGTAGATAGCGCGACGACCAAGGCCTGCGGCCTGGTACAAGTTAACCTATAGGGTAAATAGGCTGTGCTGATTTAGTTAGTAGTGGTTTTACGGCTTAGGAAGCGCTCCTGGGGCGATTCCTGTTGGGCCAAGGTGGTGTGAGACGAATATGGACTGGTAAAAAAAATAAAAATAAAAAAATAAAAATAAAAAATAAAAATAAAAAAAACCTTATATTTTATGAGGGCTTTAATCAATATTAACAAAGGACTTTAGTAGATAATTAAGATCTTGCATACAAAGAAATAGCTATTATATAGTTTAGTAAGCTTTTTTCGTTGATTAAAACTATTGGATTTTATGCATCTGCAGCATGTATCAGCTCTCCGCCGGTCGCCAATTATCAGTACTCTCGCAAAGCAGGGTAAGACGGATGCGCTGGGCGACCCTCGGTGGCCTAAGCGCTGCCATCAGCCCTAACCCGATGCATTATATACCGTAGTGAGCTGAAACCCCGGTCAGCCAAGACATTAAGCGCTGGTGGCGCCCCGTATCCGTTCTTTTCGTTGTAGAGGCTGCGCCATAATACCTCTACAACCACATAAACCGTTTGCGCCATCTTTCGTTCCTATCTCCTGCATTGCAACCGTGTAGCAGGAGCGTGTTGGGCATCCTGCCGGTCAGTGGGAGCGACATCAAGCTATCGTCTTTCTCATCCGATACCCTTCAAGAACACAGCCTTTAGTGGTTAACGCACAGCCTTTACCCGCTATTATTCGTACCTCGTTGCTTCCAGATCCCTCGAACACAGAGGCACCGTTCTATCGCCTTCTAAAC